CCCCAAAACCCCAAAACCCCAGTAGCAAAAATAAGCTAGATAATAAATAAAAATAAAAATAATCATTTTGAAATTATGAATTTAATGTTTCTTTCTTTTTTGGATCAATTTAAGACATATCAAAATCCTATTCAGTTAATCTTTTTAACATTTGTTCTGATTGTCCTATTAGGTTTGGGAGTTTTTGGTCTATTATCTGTAACCTAGCTTTCAATTATTTATGGAATAATATTGCTTTTATCTCTATGAATTATTTCTCTATTAAATTACTCCCTAAGCGAAACTTAATTTTTCTAAACATCCTAAATAGTATTCATCAACAGCTCTTAATTTTGTAACATTTTCTTCATCATATTGTTTTGCTCGGTATTTAAATTATCATCATCTTCATCAAGTTTGATGCAAATGATAAACTTCACATCATCAAATATTTTTTGCTTATCTATTAAGAAACTATTATCCAAAAGTAATTGCAAATATTCTTGAACTTTTGATTACTCTTCAGCTTAGGTAACCTTGCCATAAGAATCTCCCATTATAGCAATCAATAAATTCAAAAGCAAAATCATAATAAGCATAGTTGATAGTATAAAAATAAACCAAACTAGATAAATAGATTCATTTCCAAATTTTTCAGTATCAAAGTCTCCTAGGGCCATTCTGTAAACAAACATAATAGACATAGGGAATGACTTAATAAATCTGTCATCTTCATTTCTGTTACTGATAGAAAGCAGATAAAATCCGTTTCCAAATCCAATAATTGTCAAGAAGAAGATGTAAATGAAAATTCTAATGTCATATGCCATTTAAACCACCATTCTTATAAAAGGAGCTGTCTTGTCAAAAAGTCTCAAGAAATAAAAGAATTTTAAGTATAAGAATATAACTGTGGCAGCACCAACACTGTTAACTCTAGTTGAGTCAACTTATGGACTTTAAGTTAACATAATAAAGGATAAATACAATGCGAGAAGCAATTAAAACAGATCGAGATAGTTCCAAAATTCATTGAAATATTTAAAGCCTTAGTTTATTAGTTATCTCAATTCATTAGCTAAAAAGTATAGTTGTAGAGGCAAAATAACTCCTACTACTAAGATAAAATTAAGCAACTTATTATTATCATCAATAATTTCTATCTCATCTGAAGAAACTCTTTAGTAGAGCATAGTCATACTTAAGATAAATGCGATAAAATACACCAGGAATGGGATGAATAGTTTTCTTATGATAGCTGCTTTATAAATTTTCCATTAAAATTTAACGATTGTTTGAATAGATTCCAGTGAGAAAAGTTCAAGATTTTCACTTTTACTTAACTTCTTTAAAAAGTCATCTCCTTCTTTTGTTAATAATATCCAATCAGCTCTTATGGCATATACATTTACATTCCTTTCACTTAGATTTGAATGGTCTATGAATTTCTCATTAAAACCTTTGTCCTTACAGATAGTTCCATGCTATATATGAATTCCTTTTTCTTCTAATCTTTTCTCATTTTTAGATGAAATCGTATGTATTAACCTTAATTGATGATTTTAATAAAGAGCTGCTTCCATCAATTTTGGAAAATTCTGAGAGTCAAGTAAATCTGAAAAGTGCTATCTCAAAGTGTTTGTTGACTTTCCAAATGTTTCTTTGCAATATAGAGAAATGTAGTGCATAAAAAGATTAATACTTCGATTATTTCTGCTCTCAAGAGCTATATCAAGAGGCGTCTTCATATCCTCATTTTTTACCAATATAAATTCCAAAACAAGAGGTTATTTTTTTTCAAAGTACTCACAAATAATTTCAAGTTCTTTGAAATTGTTTGCATGAATATGAAAGATATTACTATTTCTAACCTGATATGTGAAGTTTAGAGGTTAAATTTTATTGAGAAAAATTTACATCAATTCTTAAGACTTCTTTTAATTTTAGTGGTCCTTTTCATTTATGTCTTTTATCTGATCATTTAATATAATTTGAAAGTACGAATGAGGAAGTACAACTTCATTACCAACTATTATATAGTCGATATACTTCTTTTGGGTAATCTTCTCAAAATGAAACGATAGATTTTCTGTGGTATTTTATCTTCTAATTCGATCGAAATTCTTTTGATTATTATTCATCAATGAAACAATTTTTACTTTGTATCCAATATCCAAATCCTCACTCTAGATTAGACTTGTGTCTCTATTTTAGTTATTTAATCTCACATTTTTTCTGAATGAAAGATGCCTGGCATGACCTGAATTAGATAAAGTTTCAATTAAGCCAAGGTTAGAGTCCAATATGTACACATGACCTTAAGTATCAAACAAAAGTTGATTTAATGGTGAAACATCACATGAACATTGCTCTGAGCTTGAAATCTAGTCCCAAAGTACTATTGTTTAGACCTGCATAGAGTTTTCAAGTCTAAGTAAGAATAATTCTTTTTTCAGTAACCCATGATGATGACTTTCAATATGTGATGCTTCTATTATTTTAATATTGTCCTTCTTATCAAACTAGAGTGATACTTCACCGTACTACTCTTACTTGATATCGTAGAAGTAGCAAACTTAATCATTCCATCCCAGGACATACTTATTTGAAAGTTTAAATCCTTTGATATTGCTCATTCCTTTAGAATCAATGTTCAATTCTATTCCTTAACAATACTTTTCATCTTTACAATCAAAATGTTTAGAGTAGATCATAAATTACTTTCTCAAAGTCTCTCCATTTTCTTGAATGTGTAAAATATCTCCATTGTTATTGATTCTAAAGAATTCTTTATGCAAAGTATCTATCATTGCCTGTCTTTCAAGACTCTATATTATTACTTAGCTAAGTTTCCCAGATGCTTATTATCCTAATTATAATGTTCCATATGCTTCTACATTTAAATGCTTTGTTTCAACATTTAGAGTAAGATTGAATACATTGACTAAGTTTTTAGATTGATCATGTAGTAAAATTTTGCTAAATTTGGACGAAATTGCCTTGACCTTGCCAAAAGTATTTGGAATTTAGTCAGAGAGTTCTTATTTCGTAATTTAGAATCCTCTTAGGTCTTAAACTAAAAAGCTTTTCTCTTAAAGATCAAAAGTTCCAATAAGATCTTCTTCCATTTCCTTCTCATTACTACTATGATGATGATGGTTACTTTTATTAGAATTGCTATGGTTCCCATGCTTATGATGATGTTCCTACTCAGAATGGTGATGATGATGAGATGCTTGATGATTATGATTATGAGAAATAGTTTTGCAATTTATTATGAAGGATATTCTTTGATTTTGGAATTATCCGTTCTCATTCTACTATAGCTTGATACTATTATAACTTAAAAAGCTTGGCAAAAGTACTCCTTTTTTATACCTAATTTTTTTGAATTTTTATATAGCCATAGTCCTGTGACTCTATCTATCAAATAGCAAATTTCCAATAATCTATGACTGATCTTAGTCCAACTCAAATATGTCTCTGAATACATATGAGTTATCACTTGAAGGAAGTTTATCATTAATTGAGAAAATTTAGTTGCCATTTGAATAGAGCAAGATTTACTTGTCTTAGCTGTTCTCTATGTGGCCTGTATTGTGAAGCCTCAAATTATTTATGAGATATCGGTTGCTGATAGTGATAGTCATTGTTTCAATGATGGTTGTTTAACTAGCCAGGTTATAAAATTTCAATAAGTGTTAATTTTGACTTGAAACCATATATAGAGCAAGAGTGTTGCTGCTAGCACAGTCAATAATTTTAATGATCTTTCCATCTAGGTATTCGTAGTGCACAATCTTTTCTAACTCAAAATTTAGAGTGTCCAATGACTCTAAGTACATCTAGCTGTGAACGTAAAATAGTCTATCTCCAACAATCCTGAAATTCGAGACATCTCTGGCTATTAAGGTATGCTAAGGTATGTTTTGAATCTAATAGAATACTCTTAGGGAATAGTCTGGCTAAGACAAATAGAAAAATGAAGCACTATAGCCTTTGGATTTTATTGGGAGATATTTCTAAGCTTTGTTTTAAAGTTTTGAATGCAAAAAGAAATCTTCAATAATTGTACCTTCTTAAAGATATGATTTTTATAGCCTTATAATGAATTCTTGTTGATTCAGATATGATCTTTCTTTTAAGTTAAGCTTATATATGTAATAAAATTTGTCATCCTCCATCAATATCAATAGCATCTATTATCCTTACATTTTCAGCTTTTTCATTCTTTTTTCGATAGTTATTTGAGGAGGTGGCACTATGTAGCTACTCTAGGAGTTGTCCATTACATTAACCTTAATATTACCTTTTATATCAGAATGACAAATAAAGGGATATTTCAAATCACTAAATACAAACTCTTCATATTCTCTAAGCTCACTAAATGTATCTGCTGAATCAAAGTTAAACATTGATGAATCTTGCTTTAGCATTTGCAAATTGGAGTCAATTTCGGCACCACCAATATTTACACTATGAACTCTTATCATATTGTCAAAAGCTGTTTTTATCACCTAAGTAAATGAGTAATGACTAATCTTCTCTTGATCTCTCAACACTATAAACTTGACAATAATCTCATCACTTTAATTAACTGAGGCAAAAGCAGTAATAAAATCTGGTTTACTGCTGTATTATGGCAACCTAAAAATAATATGCTGGTCTTCACCAAAATTTACTAAGTATTCCTCTGATTAATTAGTGCATTCTAAGGTCACAAAATTATTGATAGGAAGTGTCTCATAAAAGTTTCCTAGAGTGATTATTTTTTCTACTCTCCGTTTTTATGATATTTATGTCAGAATTTAAGACTCAATTTTATACTGATATGTCAGTATCTAATTTCTTTCCAAAAGGCAATGGGGATCTTTTTTTCCTAAGATAAGTGATATCATAGCATCTTTCATATCTTAAGTAATCTTTACTATAAATTTTTGAGGTATCTATTCACCCAGTTAATCAAATTTTACTACTCTAATGTTTTTCAGCGAGTAGACTATTTTATCATTAATGAAGCTGAAAAAATGAATAATAGGCTAGCTACGATCTGGATCATAAGTCTTTAAAGCTATCTTTCCTTCATTTTAGTCTGATTTTTCTTGTTTGAATTAAAGACAAAGTATTCCGATATAAGTATCCGAGATATTTAGAATCTTTCTCTATTAGAGTGCATCTTGAAGAGTAAAATTCTCCATCTAAAAGTCATAAAACTCCACTCTTTTGAGATAGACTAAAGATACTGTCTTTTTGAATGGAACAAACTTTATATCCTAGAGGTCTATCATAGATAAATATGGAAATTATAATGTTTACTTTCAAATACGCTAATAGGAATTTAAGATTATGTATCCATTTTTATAAGACTTTCAAAGGTTCTGGAATCTACTATATTCAAGACTTGAGGTTCATTAGCTGGAATATATGCTAAGAATTCGCCATTTTCAGAAAATGCTGTTTACCCCTTTATATTTTCTATACTCAATAAAATCATGCTTCTCTTACCTTAGAAGACGAGTTCTTTTATAACTTAAAACCCTCCTTGAATTTCCTATATGAATATGATAGCTGCTTTCCTATTTATATTTTCTTATAGCATTGACTATTACATCAAATTAAATGATTTCAAAATGTACCATATCAGTTTCTTAATGAAGAATCATGCTTTTATCGTCATTAATGTCATTGGGCAAGCAATAATTGACGAAGAGCAATGTAATTGTAGGATCTATTGGGTAAATTAATGCATTTTCTATATTCGATGCTAAAATTTGTTCAGAAGTGAAAATTACAGGGAAGATCAATATTTATTGAGTATTTGTCGAGGAATTTTTACTTCTCACTCTTTAAGAGATTCAAATCTTCAAGGGATTCAAAATCTTCATCCTCAATTTAGCTCTTAGCATTCCCTACTTTTACACCATAATTAATTTGAAAATTATCCTTGTGATCTAAGCTATGGTTATCCAGGAGACTTTTCTACGAAGTCTTTTTAAAAGATTCAGTCTGAAACATCTTTAATAATATTATATTAACTAAATATTACATCAGATTCTTAATAAATTAGTATTCTAAAATGTTTTATCTTCTCTAGTTATATTCAAAATTTTATCTTTTGGGGTTTTGGGGTTTTGGGG